AAAAGTTATAACCATGTTGGGCGTAATCTTTATATTGGTTCATGAATCTATATAGTTTAATAATTAATAGTGTTAATGGGCAAAAATACCTCAAAAGTTTTTCAAAGGAGTATTGTGTATCCTTATCTTTTGGTTAGAGCAATTTTGCCTCACCATTAAATCTAGGAATGTTGATCATTAAAATCAAAATTTGACCAAATGGAAGACAAGTGGGATTAGCTAATTTGTGTTGGGTTTGCTAACTAAGCATTAACAAACATGAAGCCAGATCTAGAAATCGAGGTCATTCTTATTCATCCAAGCTAGATTTGGGTTTGCCAATTTTCCTTGATCCTTCTTTCCTCTATCTCCTTCTTATTACTTGTGAGATTCAAGATGCCTAATAGGAAAATCTGTATGAGATTGGTTGAGAAATTCTTAGAAACTCAAAGGGTATATAAGGTATGTTTAGTAACAATCGTCCTTGTTCGTATTAAAATGCACGTGTAGGTTTACATATTAGAACTCGACAAGATGGATTGTTGTGGTATAAAGAATTTAGCATATGAAATGAATTTCATTGTCTTCCTTATTATGAAAATATGACAATATGAGCGTTTGAAGTAATCTTATCATCTTCCTTCTTTTCTTTCCCCTAAGCAAAGTGCCACATGGTTTTCCAAATTAATGATATCAACACTTGATTAGTCAAATGTTAAAAAAAAGTGACATTGCTCAATAGCACTTTCAAAGTAATATTGCTCATCTTAAAAGGTAAGAGTATCGAGTTTTTTTTTTTGAGAAAAAAACTTCCAAGACATTTTTGCCCCTTTTAATTTTATAATAACTTTTCATAAAAAAAATCCTTTTACTATGTAGAATTTTTTTGAAATATCTTCCCTTTATTAAGTGACACTTTTTAGTTTTATAACTCTCTAAAGACGCCTTTAGAATTTAGAAAGACATGATCTTAGATATTACAACTATTTGCATAACCTTTTATAAAAATTCCTTAATTTATAAGGACGTAACTCTTTAATTTATAAAGACACGATTTTAAAAAAAAAAATCTCTTTATTTTAAAAATATTCTAACAACCTATATAGTGGAGGTTGAGATATATTGCACAATAACATTCACTAGTTGATTTGGTATCCCTACATCCTTTAAAGTGTCTCCAATTACTCTCATTGGAGTTTGTCAAAAGCCCCATCCAAATAAATTTTTATAGCCATCTAACTTGTCTTACTTTTTTTACCTCATGAAATGGATGACCTCTTGCGACTTGCAAGATAATGATGTTTTAGTCCACGATAAAGTTGGAATGGAAAGGAAGATCAAGAGTTTGCATCATAGGTTGGAACTCATTAGCCATGACCTTAGTAATAATCTTGAAGATAAACGTACACAAGTTAATTGATCTGGATTGCTTTAAACATTCAAGTTGCTAAACCTTGGGAATTAGAGCAATTGAAATTCTATTTAAACTAGGCTTAAGGTTTTGCCTTTAACATACATTTTTTACAATAGTATGGATGGAATCACCAATTATGTCCTGCCAACATTGGGAAAAATAATGGAGAATCACATTCAAAGATTACTCAAGTAAATTAATCATAGATAAAGACTAATAACAAGTTTCATTTCATAAAAAATAATTTCATATTCTCATTTTAATAACAATCTATTTTTTATTAATTTTTATGTACAAATAATTTAATCGAGTAGTCTTTAAATGTGATTTTCCAAAAAAAAAAAAACTTGCATGAAGTCCATCAACTACAAGTGCTTTAAAGGGTTTTCATATTTAAAAAAGGGAAAAAATGTGATTTCTTTATTGGTGATCTCTTTGTCCACAACATGCACTCACTGGGTGTTCAGTCTAAGAAAAGACTCTTTTGGGCTCGTGAAGCATAATCAGAGCTATCTACAGTATACAAATTATTGAAATATGATATAAAAATTATTGAAATATTAAAAAATGATTAATACCCTCTAATAATATCAACATTACTTTAATTAAGGGTGGTCAAAAGCATGGTTTAATTTAATTTTGCTTAAAATATGAACTAAACCAAATCAATTGAGTTGTGCAAAAAAAGGCACATGCTTGGTTTTCTATTAAGATTAGTTTAGTTCAGTTTCTAAGCAATTTAGTTTATACATGGATTAAGTTTTAATATTTTTAACATATAAAATCATATATTAAGGCTAAATAGGATTTTTGACTCTCCTTTTTTCTTTCATATTCCAACTTTAAATTACATTGTCAACTTTATTATTCATAAATGAAAATCAACATCATATCCAGAAAAAAAAATCAAATTCCATTGTCAATAAACATTGTATATGCATTTGTAAGTAACATAAGTTAAATTTATTACACATTGTCTTAATGTTTATGATGAAAAATAACTCATTTTAAATAAAAAGGGAAATTCTATCTTTAAAATTATTTAAAAAATCATTCTTGAAGTAATATGAGCACATGCATTGGATTTTTTAATAGCAAAATTGAGGAACGAAGGGTTAGAGATTTTATTAAAGTATTTTAGGTTGGGGCTGGACTTTAGTCGGAGTTAGAATTTTTTAAAAAATAAACACTAATAGTCTAATATTAATCATAACAAATACATTTAAAAATATAAAAGGTATGGTTCAGGTTTAGTAAAAGTTTTAAAGAAAAAAAAAACTAAAACCTAAATCAAACCACTTGGTTTTTAAATTATAAAACCAAATTAAATTTTATTAATGATTGGTTTTATTCAGTTTTTATTGAATTAGTTTGGTATGATCGATTATGTTCAGTTTTGCTTACCATTTATTTAATACTTCCTCTATTTCATTATATCTGTCGTCTTAAAGAAAAATCGTTTCATATTAAATGTCATTTTTTAATGATTTTTTTTTTTCTATTTTACCCTTAGAGCAATACTCTACTACTCCCTATATTGTGTTAAAGGCATTGAAGTATTGATATAAATGAGGGGTAAATTTGGTAAAGCATGTCATATTTTTATAAAATTGCAACCTCCTATAAAAGAAGTTGATGGTAGAGTGATTCTGTAATTGGAATATATCTAAGGTCATAGGATTACACTCAATTCTTCCATAACACAATAATTAACAAGCATTACAAGATACATGGACAATCCAGAACGTAAAAATGACAATTATTAATTGAGTACTATATAATTATCATTTTTATACACTTAGTTGTCCATAAAACTTATAATATTTAATTGTATTATGGGAATGATTACCTGTTTTCAAAATAGTTTTAAAAAATTTGTTAGAAAATATGTTTTCTATGATCTCCTTAAAAAGATAAAAAATTATTCTAAAAACTAAAAAATAAAAATATTTTTATATTTATTTACTTTTATTTTGTAAAACCAGAAAAAAGACAAAAAGCATTGTGTTTTTATTAATAATAATTATGTTAATAAAATAAATAATTCTTTTACTCTTTATTTCACAATTTTATATATGTTTTTTTAATATGATGGTTTAAATATATTTTTTCAAAACTTATTCTTCAAAATTATTCTATAAAATTATTTTAAAAATGTAGAAATAGAAAACAGATGTAATTTTTCCTATTTATTTTGCTCAATTATTCTGAGGTAATTGTTTTTTACCTATCGTAAACAGCTTGTCTAGCTTTTTTTCCCCCCAAATGATCCTGTCCATTAAAAAAAAAAAAAGATTTTCGAAGTTTTTCTTTAAAGCTTAAAAATTTTGATGATAAATTTATTTTATTTGGTTTTTGTTTCAAAAAATAATTTCTCTCTATTTTTTTAATGTCATTCTCAATTCCCTCGCATTTCAAATGTGACAATGTGCTGATTTTTAAGTGTAGCAAAAAAAAAAAAAATGGCGAAAAAGATATGATACCCTACTTTAGAGTTTTCTTTTGTTTTTGTTTTTTCGGAGGATCTCACCTAGGCTCCTGAAGGAGAAAAATGCGTTTAGAACTAAATATATTTTAAAATTATTTTACAAGTTAAAGAATCTTTTTTACAAATATATTTTAAAAAGAAAATATATAATTATCTTTAGTAAGAAAAAAAACTTTAGGTTAACTACTAATGAACAATTATTTATTAATATATAAATTTAAAGATATGAACTTGTGAATATTTAGTTATAAAAATTTGAATTTCCTGTCATGATAAAAGCATAAAATTATGTATTTTGACTTGTGAGTAAATAAATATATACTTGTGAATATTCAAACATTAAGTTATAAATTTATCTAGTGGCTAAGACGAATTTGTTAAACTTGAATAAGAATTTTACTACCAATGAATAATTACTTGATAATATGTGAATATAAAGTTATAAATTAATGAATAGGTAATTTTTTTTTATCAGAATGAATAGATAATTGTAAAAATTTAAGTTGACTGTTATAATAAATCTTAATTTTAAATATATAAAGTTATAAATTTTGGATTTGATTTGTAAATAGATGAACCTATATTTATGAATACTTAAACTTTAAGTTGTAGGTTTATTAAGTTGGCTAAAAGAATTATGTCAATCCTCAACAAATATTTCACTTTTAATGAATACTTATTTATTAATATGTGAATTTAAAATTATGAATTCATAAATATATAATTATATAAATATAAAGTTGTATTTGTTTTTTTTCATTAACAATAATTGTGTTTTTTTTAAATATATTTATAAAAAAGTCATTGAGCCTGCAAAATAATTTTAAAATATATTAAGTTTTAAGTGTACTGTTTTTTCTCTTAAGGGTCTTCGATGAGGTACCCCCTCCTTTTTTTTCAACACCAACTCTACAAGTCTAGAGTTTAAAGTTTAACACAATAAACAAAACGTCACCAACTTCGAATTGATGTGAGAATCTCCAATTATGTGGCCTCCACACGTTTACACGTGGCAAAATCTATACCGTTCATTTTTTATTGTTAGGAAATCCTTGTCCGTTCTAACATCCTTAGAAAAAAATATATTCTCAGTTCATTGGATCTACTGACTTCAATCAAAAGCTTTTCCCTGTTTCCGTTTTCAGTTTCGGTTTCCCTTTTGCTTTCGTTCCTTCCTCCTTCAGTTCACCTCACACCCATAAGCCCCCATGATTCTCTTCGTCCAATACTCATCGCCATTCTCTCCAAAACTCGTTTCATTGCAACGCTATGGTCTTCCTCTCTTCTTCTTCTTTTTCTTCTTCACAATTCTGCTTACTTCACTTGATTTCTTCTTCCGTTACTCCGACGAAGCATAATTGGGTAAATCTCCCTATCATATTGTGTTGAGATTTTTGAACCGTTTCTTAACAGATAATCCCTAATTCACAGGCTAGTCAGTTTTTCCGCGTAACCCAGATCCGAAAATTTCTTATTCTCTCTTCCTCTTCCTATTTCCGGAATATTTTCTCCGTAGGATCTTTACTTGCTTATCCGTTCTTTTGTTTCACAGCTCACATTCCTAATCCAGAAAAGTAAAAAGTGCAATTCTTGTCTGTTCGTTGAGATAGTTGTATCGCTTAGTTGGGGCACCTGCTTCGTTGGTGGCATTGACACGTTTATAGCAGAAAAAACATTGGAGAGCAACCATTTCAGAGCCTTCCGGATTATGAAGGCGAGATTTCCATGATCCACATTTACCAACTGCGGTTTGGTTTCGCAACTGCTTACAACTTATACGGCTTTAGTGTTCACCTTTAAACCATCTTCTTGCAAAGTGGGTGCTCGTGACTCGGATTCTCGCTGACGTAAGGAATTTTGATTTGGGGCTCACTTTTTCCTTGATTTTATTCTCCACTGGAGTCAACCGTTCAAATTCTTGCGAATTTCTTAGGATATGCGTATTGGTGATTTGCGGATCTGGCTATCTCTCGTTTCACTGCAGTGAAAGAGAAGCATTGAGTTTAGTTCATTTTCTTGAGCATAAATTGGTGATATAGCATTCTGAGGAGGATCAAAACATTTTAGCGCAGAGCATTTTGAATTTGTTTATGTGAAAGTGACGATTTTGACTGATTCGAGTGGTGTTCGAGAAATTTTGGGGCCTGTAAACTGGTGTTATGGGTTGTATATGCTCGAAAGGGAAATCTTCAGATGATTACGTTGCTGAGAACCATACCAGAGACAAGGATACGAAGGCTAATAGAATCTCAAAACATTTGAGTTCGGGAGAGAAGGTAGCAATAGAGGCTGATGGTAGTGGTAATGATGCGACTACACGGTTGATATCTAATCCGTCTCGGGATGGAACTTCAGGGTCCACTTCCGTTTCATCAGATGAGGGGGAGAAGAACGGAGAAACAGAGACTACTGCAAAGCCTGCAAAACAACTGGTTCATATGGCCTCAAACATGGGAATTGGAAATGGAGGACAAGGACAACCTAAGATGGCTAGGATAGTTACCGTACCTAAAGGGGAAAGAGGAGCTCAAGTTCTTGCTGGCTGGCCTTCTTGGCTTACTGCAGTTGCAGGGGAAGCCATTAATGGGTGGATACCTCGCAGAGCAGACGCATATGAGAAGTTGGAAAAGGCAAGTTGAGTCACTTGATACATTTATTGTTTATTTGTATTTATTTATTGATTTTTATAGATAAATAGACTAGCAATCCTTTAAAGCTATGATATATATTTGAAATTTTATTATTGGCACTCAGATGTGGAAGCATCTTCTGTCTGATGATCATATAGTGTTAAATGACATACCACTTGATTGAAAAGATTCAGCCAACCATAGTTTCGCTATATTGTAACTTATGGGAGTCACCATTTTAAATTCAGAAGAATGGTGCAAAGTATTTTTTTTTCAAATAATTTATTTAGACTATATAAATCTGGCTTGAAAGTTGTTGTATGCTTTGAAGCATTAATTGCTGGGGAGAAATTTGTTTTCTTCTGCCCTTGAAGTATGAAATACTCTTTTTTGTGTCAGTTGATAAGGTTTTAAGCCTCCCTAGGCTATAAAGAATAACTTTTTGGTTTGAGCACAGCTTTGATGTCTATTAATATTTAATAGTTCTTCCTTGGCCCATTTTTTTTCTTTTAATTCAAGGAGAATTTATCCTATGCTTTTCTTAAAATAAGCAAATAAAGTTTCCTGTCATTCTGCAGATTGGGCAGGGAACTTACAGCAGTGTTTACAGAGCTCGTGATCTTGAAACAAGCAAAATTGTTGCATTGAAGAAGATTCGATTTGCTAATATGGATCCAGAAAGTGTTCGTTTTATGGCAAGAGAAATTATTGTACTGCGGAGGCTTGATCATCCAAATGTCATGAAACTTGAAGGCATCATTACTTCACGGGTATCAGGTAGCTTGTACCTCGTTTTTGAATATATGGAACATGATCTTGCAGGGCTTTCAGCAACACCTGGCATCAAGTTCACTGAAGGGCAGGTAGTTGATTTTTCCTTCTGATTATGTGCCCATTGTTCAGACAAAACCTGTTTCTGTCTTTTGTTGCTCTAAGTCTAATACCTGCCTTTTGGGCAAATCAATTTGATGGGCGTATTTTTAGATATATTTAATTTAATTTAAGGTTTTTTGACATATACAAATTTGCTTAATGTTTAATTGCAGTCATTATGAATCTTGTAAATGTAAGATTTAGGAAGTCATTGTATGACTATAAAAGAATTGTCTGATACAAGACAAAAACTATCAAGCTAGAAATAGAATCTTGAGCTACAAACTCACGTTTCTATAACTATTTTCTCTTAAACTAAATATTATAGGTCAAACATATTAATCTTGTAGAAATATAAGTTTCTACGAGAGAGTTTTCCTCATTCATGTCTTCTATTTCTTCAGCATGTATAAGGGGACTCAACGTTTTCTCTAATGCTGCAGATCAAATGTTACATGCAACAGCTGCTTTGTGGTATTGAGCACTGCCACAGTCATGGTGTTCTGCATCGAGACATCAAGGGCTCAAATCTTCTGATTGACAAGAATGGCATTCTAAAGATTGGTGATTTTGGGCTAGCAACTTTCTTTGAGCCTTCTAAGGCTCAGGTTTTGACAAGTCGTGTGGTTACCTTGTGGTACCGACCACCGGAACTCCTACTGGGAGCCACAAATTATGGAGTTGCGGTGGACTTGTGGAGTGCTGGTTGCATTCTTGCAGAGTTGTTTGCCGGAAAGCCTATAATGCCTGGACGAACAGAGGTAGTTCCTTCATGCATTCTATTTTTTATTGGACATACTGAAGCCTAACCATCCATTATTCTGAGCAGCATCTTTTGGTGACATAAGTTTGAAGTAGTCAAATTTCTCTTCTTTCTTCTTAGCATCCTTACATGAGCGTTGGAAGATGAATTTTCATCCATAGAAGTAGAATGGAAGTACTCTTGATAAAATTGTCACATTTCTAGCCTAAAATCCCGTAGCTTACCACTGCATCTGCTTGTTTAATCTGCAACCATCATACAACAACAACAACAACAACAACAAGCCTTTATCCCACTAGGTGGGGTCGGCTACATGGATTGCAAGACGCCATTGTGCTCTATCATTTATTAAGCTTTTAGAAATATTATTAATTAAGAGATCACGTTCAACAACTTCCAAGAGTGTTCTCTTAGGCCTTCCTCTACCTCTCTTAATCGGACTCAAAGTTATATGTTCCACTCTTCTCACTGGTGCCTCCCTTGGTCTTCTTTGTACATGCCCAAACCATCTCAACCGATTTTCTACCATTTTTTCCTCAATAGGTGCCACCCTCACTTTTTCGCGTATGTGCTCATTTCGAATTTTATCTTTACGTGTATGTCCGCACATCCATCGTAACATTCTCATCTCTGCTACTCCAACTTTATGCTCTTGCTGTCCCGTTAGAGCCCAGCATTCACTACTATATAACATTGCCGGTCTGATAGCAGTACGATAAAACTTTCCTTTAAGTTTATTAGGCACCTTACGGTCACAAATAACTCCTTTAGCTTTTCTCCAATTAAACCACCCAGCTTGAATTCTATGTGAAATATCTCCACTGATTTCGCCATCATTTTGAATAATGGCTCCCAAATATCTAAACTTTTCCACTTGAGGTATAATTTGATCTCCCAATTTCACTTCCAAATTATTTTCGAATAGTCCTTTACCAAATTTACAATATAAATATTCCGTCTTACTTCTACTCAGACGAAAACCTTTCGACTCCAATGTCCTCCTCCATAACTCAAGTTTGCAATTAACCTCTTTTCTTGTCTCTGCTATAAGAACTATATCATCCGCGAAGAGCATACATTTCGGGATTTCCTCTTGAATATGTTCCGTCAAAACATTTAAAATCAAGTTAAACAAATAAGGACTCAGAGATGATCCCTGATGTAGTCCAATCTTTATAGGAAAATCCTTTGTTTGACCACTAGGCGTTCTTATACTAGTTTTTACCCCCTCATACATATCTTGTATGGCTTTAATATAAGCAATCCGTACTCCCTTTTTTTCCAACGCTTTCCAAAGCACTTCTCTTGGTATACGGTCATAAGCTTTTTCCAAATCAATAAAAACCATGTGTAGATCTTTATCTTTACAACGATACTTTTCCATTAATCCCCTTAGTAGATAAATCGCCTCTGTAGTTGATCTACCTGGCATAAAACCAAATTGATTCTCAGAAATACTTGTCTCCAATCTCAACCTGTGCTCAATTACTTTCTCCCACAATTTCATTGTGTGGCTCATGAGTTTAATCCCTCTATAGTTAGTACAATTCTGAATATCTCCTTTATTTTTATAAATAGGAATTAATGTACTTCTCCTCCACTCATCAGGCATTTTCTTGGACCGTAAAATCACATTAAATAACTTAGTTAACCATCTCACCCCTTCTTCACCTAAACATTTCCACGCTTCGATAGATATACAATCAGGTCCGTTGGCTCTACCATTTGCCATTTTCTTAAGAGCTTCCTTTACCTCCTTATCACGTATTTTTCGATAGAATGACAAATTTTGTTCTCCTTCACCAGTTACTAAATCCTCCAAGTTACTAGATGAATCCTCTCCATCATTGAAAAGTTTAGAAAAATAAGTCTCCCATCTATTTTTAATTTCATCATCTGTAACTAAAATTCTTTCCTCTTCATCCTTAATACACCTTACCTGTTCTAGATCTCTTGATTTTCTTTCCCTACTCTTGGCAATCTTATAAATATTTTGCTCTCCTTCCTTCGTCTCAAGGTTCTTATAAAATTCTTCAAAAGCTTTAGAACGAGCTTCACCCACAGCTCTCTTAGTTTCCTTCTTAGCCATACGGTACCTCTCCCAATTTTCCTCATTGTTACACAAATGTATGGCTTTAAAACAGTTCTTCTTATACTTGATTTTGTCCTGTACACTATTATTCCACCACCAAGACTCCTTATCTCTCGGACCAGAACCTTTCGATTCTCCCAAAACTACTTTTGCAACCTCCCGTATCTTTTTAGCCATATCCTCCCATATAATGTTAGCACTTCCCTGAGAATCCCAAATTCCTTTATCCAAAAGATTTCGCTTGAAAATATCTTGCTTCTCACCTTTTAATTGCCACCACCTAATCCTTGGTGTTACTACTTGTCGACGTTTTTGAATTTTACTCATAATACACACATCAAGGACTAGGACCCTATGTTGTGTCGTTACAGCATCTCCGGGTATCACCTTACAATTTTTACAAAGTTTTCTATCTGTGTTCCTAACCAAAAGAAAATCAATCTGCGACCTTGAGGCTCCACTTTTGTAAGTGATGAGATGCTCATCTCTCTTCTTGAAACAAGTGTTGGCAATCTTAAAATCATACGCCAATGAGAAATCAAGAAGAGTTTGTCCTTCATTGTTTAGCTCTCCAAAACCAAAACCACCATGCACCCTCGCATACTGACCAGCTTCCCTCCCGACATGCCCATTAAAGTCTCCTCCAATAAAAATCTTTTCACTCTGTGGTATGTGTCGAATCAACCCCTCTAGATCCTCCCAAAATAATTCCTTAAGACTGGCTTCTGTCCCGACTTGCGGCGCATAAGCGCTAACAATATTAACAGTCTCACGTCCAATTATCATTTTTAAAGAAATAATTCTATCTCCAATTCTGCTAACTGCTACAACGTTCTTCTTCCACTCCTTATCTATAATGATGCCTACTCCATTGCGTGCACTTACTTTTCCTGTATACCAAAGTTTGAAACCTTGAATATCCTTAGCTTCTTCTCCACGCCATTTTGTTTCTTGCAAGCAAATGATATTGATTTTCCTTTGAATCATAACCCCTACAACCTCTACAGATTTACAATTTAATGTCCCAACATTCCAAGTACCAAATCTAATTTTGCTCTTATGGACTAACTTCTTTAGCCGCGTGCGTCCAGAATGACGCGGTAGCCCTTGCTCATTTAACACTACATCCGGGCGCCGATGCAGTGGCTCTAACTCACTTATCACTGTACTCGAGCCATGCAGCGCGTTACTTACGGGCAACGACCTAGCATTAACATTATAACGTCTATTGTCCATGTTCTTTTTTTTTTTTGCTATTAATGGATAACTATAAAGATTGAAAAATGCTCTAAGAAACTGTACAAGCACAAAGGGTTGCTAGTAAATTTTTTGCCAAATACTTAATTTCAGACGGTCTCAATTAATTGAAATGTCCTGTAATAATTAAGGCCATTGTTATGAAAACTTCAACTGTCATTGATATTAATCAATATCAATATCAATATATCTATCAAAGTTGTGGGAAGCCATATTGTTTATGAGTAGTGTAGCTTATCTCAAACTCTCTACAAATACATGGGGGCCCATGACTCCACTTCCGTCTTTGAACTTGTGAAACATTTTAGGACTTAACTGGGCAATAAGATGAGATCTTACTATCTATTTTGTAGGTGGAGCAACTTCACAAAATCTTCAAACTCTGTGGATCACCATCTGAAGAATACTGGAAGAAGTCAAAGCTACCACATGCAACAATTTTCAAACCTCAACATCCCTACAAACGTATTGTTGCTGAGACATTTAAGGATTTTCCTCCATCAGCATTAAGCCTTTTGGAAGTCCTCCTTGCTATTGAACCAGAGGATCGAGGAACTGCTTCTTTAGCACTTCAGAGCGAGGTAGTTATAAGTTCTATTTCAGTTGAAGCACAAGTTCTCCTGGAGTGGAATTATTCTGTCACATTCTACCATTTTATTTTTCATGGTGCAATCTCATGGCATTGTTAGTATATGCTTTTTGAACTTTCCTTTTCCTTCCTAACTAACAGTTCTCTTTGTCTAGTTCTTTGCAACTAAGCCCCTTCCTTGTGATCCTTCAACTTTGCCAAAATATCCACCAAGTAAGGAGTTTGATGTCAAGATTCGACAAGAAGAAGCCAGAAGGTATTCCATCAAAAATTCTAATAATTTGGTTGCATCTGATTTCAGCATAGTCAATAATTGTGAAAACAGAAAATGCTGCTGCAACATTTTTTGTGTTATTTATTTTTAATTAAGAAAAATATCTGTTAACACTTGCCTGATACCAATGTTCTATAATAATATATGAACTTGCTTCAGAATAGTGATAAAGTGGCTCTTTTACACCTTCTCTTGGAGATATCAACTTTCAACTCTTCTGAGTAATTTTTGTAATTCAGATCAAATTTTTTTCTCCTTCTTTTAACTGAATGATATGGGCATTATTTGCTTTTGTGAAGACACTCCACTTTCCATGCCTTCTCTTTCTCTATGCAAGCTATTTGTGTTACCCACATGTTCATTTGAATACAGACGAAGAGCAGCAAATAATAAAAGAAATGCAGAGGAATCAGCTAGCAAGGTTTCCAAAGAATCTAAAGCTGTTCCAGCACCTGATGCTAATGCTGAGTTACGGTCATCAATTGAGGTACCTTGCTTCATAGACTAAGTTTATGGATCTCTTGTTCATAAGAACTTTATGAGAATTGTCTAATACGCCTTTTTCCCTATCTTTTGCCCTCCCCTTTCCTTCAGAAGAGACAAGGGCAGGCTAACCCTAAATGTATCAGTGAGAAGTTCAATCCTGATGAGGATGGTGGTTCTGGCTTCCCTATTGAACCTTCAAAGACAAGAGCACTTAATGCTTTCTCTCATTCTGGTCAGTCCATGCATCCAAGTGTCTATGGATCTTCACGCAATATGAATTCAAACAAGGAAGAGTCTGTTGCTGGCCCTGGTCATGTGTATGATTCGGGAAATCCTGTGGGGTTGAGAAAACAGAGATCCTACATGAACAGGAATGCTGCCCAATTGTCAAGATTTTCTAATTCAGTTGCCAATGAAGGTGGTTTAAAGCTTGATATGAGTGGAGATGCTAGTGTGAGTTCACAGTGGCCAGATGATTGCTTTGGCACACGATATGACCATCTTGTTGATGACGAATCCAACCAATTGCTCAAGTCTTTACACAAGAAGGACATACATCCTTGCGCAAAGGAGCCTTCCAAGGTAAAGAAAATACTCAAATGTTTATTTGGGCAGTTAATCTATCTTTTTTGGACCCCCTTTTAGAATTTTCCGTCTCTAGTAATTATTGTCAGAATTAATACTGATTAGAAGACTAACCCACTGGGGAAGCAGAAAGAGGAATAAAAAAAATGATTATGTAGTGATTGCTGGTTTATAAGCAATATGATTATGGTCTTATGGAGCTACCTAGCAATACCTTGATTTTTTTCTTTTTCTTTTCTTTTCTTGTTTTTTCTTTACACATAAGAGAAGATGTAATACCTTGATCTTCTTTTTGTGATGCAGGCATTTGCCCCAAAAAATGGTCAAATATACTATTCAGGACCGCTAGTCCCTGGAGGTGAAAATCTCGATGAAATACTTAAGGAGAATGAAAAGCAAATCCAGCAAGCAGTCCGCAAGGCACGCTTGGATAAGGTCAAGATAAGTAAGTGTGACAGTGACAATGGCCAAACTGAATCTCTACTTCACCATGTTGGAAATCGATAGTGAGATTTCGAAGAAGATGGCTTTGATGCTCTGACTTGGGATGCATGTGCCCATATAATTTTTCTGGAATTTTGTCAAACCTTGATGCTGAGAATTCAGAATTAACTTCAGGAATCATGGTCATGGAGCATCCTCATCAAAGGTCCTCGGAACACCAATGATTATGGCTTCTGTCTCAGTTCTAACCAACAATCTGTTGTTGTTTGAAGCTGGATAGCACGATGAGCAGATGAAATCGATGGCCAATGGGAGTTTGACTGTTTAATGTTTGATAGTTATTTAGACTAACTCACCAGAAAATTGTTTTGTTTCTAGATGGTGAGGTTTTCTGCTGAGAATTGATCAGTTGCTCAATATTTAACTTGTACAGGTGAAGTTGATTTTGTTGAAGCAGATTACACTTATTCGAAATGCAAAATGCATTAGGTTTGCCATCTTTAATCGAAATGGAATTGTTATCTTGTCAACCTCTCAGAAAGAAAGCTCGCAATATATCATATCTATTATCAGTTTGTAATGCACTTCATAACATTCTGCTTCTCTAGGCTAAAGATCAAATTTGTATAGTGATTTTTTCTTGATAATGATTTACATATATTCAATGTCCTGTATGCAGATCTTTTTCTGTAATTATAAAGGAATTTACTTATTTTCAATGTCTAATCTTCCTTTTGTTATCTAAAAACTTAGTTGTTTTTCAACAACAACAACAACCATAAAGATATTACTTGAACATTATTGATGGAAAACAATAATAATAGAGGAGAATGCCTATTAGAAAACGTTCTTTGAGTTTGGAAGCATGTATTGAACCTAGTGAATCTAAACTCACTTAAAATTTTTTGCTATAAGAAAAAAGGGAAAGTGATAAAGATGTAAGAAAATGGACTCATGGAGCATAAACCCCATGCAAGAAGACGATGAATTGTTCTCCCGCTCCATTTTTAGTTTTGAATAATAAGTATTGATTAAGGACATGTACATGGTCGCTGTCACATAAAAAGTAGAGATCAAGTAAGATGAAGATTAGATGAAAAGGTGGTTAATTTTTGGCTTTGCTAGCACTCTAGTTATAGTGTAATTGAGAAAAGAGAAATCTCATCAACCTTGCAGATCCAACAACAAGCACTGTACGGTTTTTGATTCATTGAGAATTCTTTCAGCGCTTTTGTCCTCATCAAATATTCCCATCTTCTTCAAGCATCAAACACCAATCACACACTCTCTCACTCTCTCTCTCTCTCTCTCTATGCCTCCATTCATTCACCTCTCTACTCTTGAAACTCTTCTTCTTCTTCTTCCTAAACTTCACACCAAATAACACCACCATTGTTGATTAATTCTTCTGCAATTTCTGACTCAACTGTGAGGCCTAAAGCTACTTAATCACTGAACTTGAAGCTCCTCATTCTGGGGCTTTTGGTTGCTCTTTTATCTTTGGGCTAAGATCAAACTTCTCTTCAAACCAAGACCTGTCTAATCCAAGTTCATTACAAACAGAAGGAGCCAAGGCTTCTTTAAGTGATGAGAAAGAAAAGAGCGATACTGAGACGAGAGATTTTTCACTTGTTTGCAGCAAGATGCCATCTTCTCTAGCTCAAGTCCTAATCCATTACACAACCTCAGCCATAACCCCACAACAAACTCTGAAAGAGATATTAGTGACAGCAAGAGTATTTAAGAAGAGATCACCATGCAATTTCTTAGTCTTTGGCTTAGGTCATGACAGCCTCATGTGGAGTTCTCTCAACTATGGTGGCAGAACAGTCTTCCTTGAAGAAGATGAGGCGTGGATTGAGAAAATTAAGCACAGGTTGGCCCCCACTTGATCTAATACCTCTGTCCCCCCCCCCACCCCCCAAACACATGGAAGAATTTGTTAGGGTTTAATTGCAATATGTTTATCTCTTTCCAATTACGCAAGACGCATAGTCTAATTGTATCTGCACACTTAGAAAGAGATAGACGTAATAATAGGTTCAACCAGTCAAATGGGATCCACCATTATGTTTATCTCTTTCCAATTATACAAAATGATCACCCCAGTTGTGTCTTTGCAATGAGGAAGAGATAAACATAATAATAGGCTTCACCTGTCAGATGAGATCCACAATCTTGTCTACCTTTTTCTTATGAAATGCATGATTGAAGAACATCTATACTAATGTATATAAATAGATTCATTATCCTCTCTAACCAAGCAATCTATGCGATTGGAAAGAGATCAACACAATAACAACTCTTTTTAGTGACATGAAATGCATGGTTGGAATAGATCTGTATTGGGGAAAAAAATATAGCCTTTACTTATAACTAAAACTTTAAGATATTAGAAGCATATCTAGAAAAGTTATTAAATACTAGAGTATTTTATTTTTAAAGTATGTATATTTAATAGAGATAAAGTTGAAAATTTATTGAATTTTTAGATAGAATTATCGAGATTCAAGATTTTCATTGATTCTGATAAAAAATGCTAGAAGTAACTTATAAATAAGTCTAGAATAAGTACTTAACTTGAGATTCCGCCCCCTTTCCCCTGCCCCTCATTTACGTGCCTTTGATCTCATCTGAAACAAAAATTTGACCCTGCCATTGAAGGTTCCCCAAGTTAGAGCCCTACCATGTGACCTATGATAGCAAGGTGAGTGAAGCAAATAACCTCCTGGAGGTTGGAAGAGGAAGAGAGTGTAGAGAAGTTTGGGATCCAAGAGAGTCCAAATGCCAACTTGCATTGAAAGGGTTGCCAAGTGAGGTTTATCAGACACAATGGGATTTGATAATGGTGGATGCACCCACAGGGTACCATGAGGATGCACCAGGGAGGATGACTGCTATATATACTGCTGGTCTGATTGGTAGGTGCAGGGACAGTGGAGAGGCTCATGTGTTTGTGTATGATGTCAATAGGGAGGTGGAAGATAAGTTCTCTATGGAATTTCTATGTGAAAATTACATGACCCGGCAAGAAGGGAGATTGAGACACTTCACTATTCCTTCTCACATGGATGACTTGGATAGACCATTTTGTCCTCTTTAGAATTTGCTTTCAATGTTTTTTTTTAACTGATTTTTCTAAAACTTAGATTGTTTTTTAATTATAAAAGAAGATATATATGCATGTATAGGAGAAAAATAACGATAGGAGTATAAAAGTGGAGAATGTGTTTGGAGAAAGAATACATAAAATAATTGTGTTTAGATGCAAGAAGATTTAGATTTGGAGAAAGAATACATAAAAATAATTGTGTTTAGATTGAAATCATTTAAAAATTGTTGCCTATGTCTTTACATAACTGTTTTCAAGCATATAGTAATACTTTTGAACTATTTCTAGATGACAAAAATGTTATAATGGACTAATTATTGATTGAGCAAATTTCTATGTGCTCCAATCTCTTTGAAAAATATTCCATTACATATGCTTCTTTCTTTTTCTTTTTTCTTTTTAAATAAAAGCACACAGGTCTCTTACCATATATTTTAAGAGAAGAAAATAATATCAGAGGTAGATTTCTAGTTTCATACCCAGGAAAGCTGGGTCAATTTTCCCATCAACTTCATATATTATTTTGGAGTTGTTATACTGCAATCATGTCATGCATAGTTTTGATTTGATTAATTCCTACTTGAATTGTGAAATTATGTAGCGGTCATCAATTAAAATTAGATGATTGAATACTTATCCCAAATAAATTGCCTGGGGAACAAATTGCATTTAGTTTGACTACAGTGACATTTGTGAGTGAGATATTTCTTCTATGCTATGTTTAAATCAAGAATCAAGATCTCTTGAGTCTAAGTTGATAAGCTTGAGGCTTCAAGTGCTGTTCTAGTGTCTAGAGAAAGTTTAGTTGCAGCTCTTGTCTGTATAATTTTGTCTTTCAAGTCCCTTGGGTCTTCAATAGAGAGTTGGTAGTATAAGATATCAAGTGCCACTATGGGATGCTTGATATGGTATTTAAGTGAGTTAGTTCTCTTACTTTAATAGTTAACTTTTAGGATGAGATTCATCATCTTACTTAGGTATCCATCAATTAGCATCAGAGATTCGTTGTTAACAATTCTAAAAATGGCTACTTATGAAGGGTTATCAGTAACTTGGTAGTATAGGATATTAAGCCTCGCATTCAATAGTATAAGATGTTTAATGAGATATTTAGGTGGGTTAGTTTTTTCACTCAATAATTAGCTTTTAGAGTAGGTTTTTCCATCTCACTTAAGTATCCATCTGCCTTATTAACTAACCCGACTGGTTGTAGCCTTCCTTCAAATGAGGTAGGGATTATGCTTGCCTTGAGGAGATATAATGAGGTAGGTATTATCCATCTTCCTGTTTAATGTATTTCAGGTAGTATTACTGAATTCATGCTGTCTAATGCTTTTGAAAGTCTCAGTTCATGCTCATGGCTGCCTTCGTTTTGGTGCACATACATCACATTCTTTCACCTATTTTAATATGCTTTAGTCTAAAATCAAAATCATTTTTATGGAAAATACAGGGTTATTGTAATTTAATTTGGGGATAATAAAACTTTTGATCCTTCAAATTTATCTAATTATTGATTTGATCCATGAAATTTAATTTTTATCAGTCAAATGTCTAAAATTTCATAATCATACACAACTAGTTCTTGTGGTTTGAAGGCATACAATCCTAGACACGCATACATGTGGTGAAACATTTAACTCAAGGATGACAACCTCTTTATAGATTGCAAAAAAAAAAAATGCTGGTATGACGAAATCAATTAAGAATATAAAATTGTGTACGAGACTTTAAAAACTTGGTTGATACATATCAAACTTCAAGAATCAAATGAATAATTGAAATAAATTTGAGAGGCTAAAAGTTTTATTATTTCTCTAATTTGTCAGGACAATTTCATCCCTTGTGTTTTAAAATGGAAGACACTTGAATGTATTCTTCTTTGATCAAAATTTAATTTCTCATAATTCATATTAACTCACTTGAAATTCTCAAATTAAATCCTAATTCACTTAGAGTTCACAAATAAAATTCAAGTTTATTAGTGTGTTTTGTACAGTTTTTTTTTTTTTTACATAAAAGTTTAGGTGAGTTAGATTTCAAAAGCTTACAAGAATTAGAATATATCTCTAAACTCAAAGAGCGCTTATTAAGATACTTATAGATCACCTACCAACAAAATGTTCACATTGGCAATGGAATTTAAACCTATGAATTACATACTTGGTTGTCTATTGACTCTTATTGGCTTGGATGAGGAACAATAACATAACTACCATATGCTTAGATCAACCGGATAAGCGATCGTCTTAGCTTAAGTAAAGATCTCGAGTTTGAGCATTGGAAATGCAGCCAACATGATAAATCCCCCTCAAGGGTTGTGGTAGAGACTTCCCCTTAAAATGAGCCAACCCGATCTCGGTCTAGATTAGTTTGGCCCTGTGAATTTGTGGGCTGAGATAACGGATGCTATACGCAAAAGAAAAAAAAAATACTCTATTCATTCAAAATTATAAGACATTTTTTGAAAAGTTAAATGTTAAAAAATATAAGACATTTTTAGTTTTTCGAGATGTAATCATTGCCTTTTTTCAGAAGTGCTCCTATTGAGGATGGCTTTATATTTATTATAGGGTGTTTAATAGGGATAAATATAAAAAAATAGGGTTAATTTGAAAGTAAGTGATTGCTTTATTGGGAGTGAAATTTAGTTAAAAATACTTTATATTTTTAAATGAAGGGAATAATAACATATGCTACCTTTATTATAGTGAATTGCTTAGCTCCTTTGGATTGGGGTAAAAACAAGAGAGAAGAAAGTGTGGCCCCCCTTATCTTGTGCTTTTTTTTTTGGTGCATATATATATTCATAAAAAAATGCATAAAACATATTAAAAATATGATTTCAATTCAAGAAATATCTAAACTAGCGTATTTATAAAGTCTTTTAATGGAGGTGGTCGTTGATGATAGATGCTCGGCTTATTTTGTAACTTTGCTCGTTTTCCAATTTTGTGAGTATTATCCATTTTCATTCAAAAAAAATATATGCATAAATAACTTAAAATTGGGACAATTCACATTCTACAATTGACGTAAGGATGATGATCTTCTTGGAAATGATATTGTAATTATGGTCTAATTAAAAATTGCAGGCAAAGGCAAGCAATGTGTGGGATATTCAGAACAAAATGTGAATGTCAAATATGTGTAAAAATTGATGGGAACGTGATTCATATTTAGAAGTGTTACTTGTGTTGGCCGTTAATGAGGTGGGCCTTAAATGTTTAGATTTGTTGGAAATTTTTTTTTCTTGATGCACTCAGTATAATATTATAATATCTTTTTAATTAAATCATATTTTTTAATAAGTTAGTTAATTATCTTTAAAATTATATACTCTTTTTATGTTTATTTTATTTAATAGAGTTTCTGAATTAAAAAATTATTAATTACACTCCTAATTGAATGTATTTTAAAAAAACATTATTAAATATTTGAAAGATTTAAAATACTTTATATTTTTAAATATGATATTTTAAAAAAAATATCTTATAATATTAAATGGGAGGAGTGCATATTACACCCCCATCCTTTTTCTAAAGAATTCTTTATGTATAACTATGATTGTTAAAAAAAATTGTTAAAGCTAGTTTAAATCTTTAAATGTGTAAAAATCTTTGATGAGTTTTTAAAACGGCACCTATTGAGGAGTCAATATGAAATTTTAAAAGTACTTATCGCAAATATTTGATACTTGTATTTCATAGTTACTAACTATTAATTATGTAATAATTTACAACTAATCTTTCAAATTTTAACATGTAACATTTTAGAAAAACAAAGATAATTATGTAATGTTATATGATTATTAAGGACAAAGGGTCGGTCCGATGTTTTCTGTCATACACTAAAATTAAATGAAGGTATTGGCCCCCACATTGTCATCGCTCCTAAAATAATGTAAAAGAATTGTTTATTTTAAATGAAAAAAAAATTATATTTTTTTTGGGCCAGCAAAAAGGGGATTGCTCTGCACCTTAGGCTTAGAGTTTGTCATGTTGCTTATACATTTTTAATGGGAGTCGCCAACTCATCAAATTACATTAATTAGACATGAGATTTTTTTTCCAATGTTTATGGAAATTGTCTTGCAGTGCACAAATATGGGACCCATTGGCAAATAATGGAATGTTTTTCATCGAGAGGAACATTAACTATTTAGTGGTTGATGTAAGAGAAGATGCCAAGTTCCCTGGTTTGTACCTCGTGTGAATGCATAATTTTCTTTTAAAAAAATATTTCAAATTAAACCCAATAATTTTTAAATCTAAAACAATTAGATAGTTATATAAAAAAATATTACAATCTTTTATTAAAATGTGTATTTATATCGCATAAATTTTTGTTGGCCAGTAGTTTGGTATAATTTTAAAGATATATTGACGTTGATTTAAAAAATACCAAATTTTATTAAAAAATATATCATTACATCATACATTATTATTTATGACTTATAATTATCATTTTTAAGGAGTTTTTAAGCAACAAAATTTAAAAAGTCTGTGGAATGGGTCATATTTGCAATTTCGCCCAAAACTTATCACTGAAAAGTAGAAGGCGTCTTTGTCGCGTTATTAATCCGCGGAAAAGCCGATCCAATGATTAACCCTCAAAATTATTTCCTATTAATTAATCGACGTCGACGAAGGGGCATT